GTGTGCCTTGGCAGTCTACAGAAAAGGACATCATACAGCAACATTTACAGGGATTAAAATTTCCTAAACTATCCACATGTACAGGTAACAACAGCATCTGATTGTGTAGCATCCAACCGAGCTTTAAAACATGTAGTAGTTCCAGATTGGTAATTTTCCATTCTTTTTGCAGACTTTTATTTCGTATTTTATGATATACAGGACTGTCTCAGAAAATTAGAATATTGTGATAAAGTTCTTTATTTTCTGTAATGCAATTAGAGACAGTCCTGTATATCATAAAATACGAAATAAAAGTCTGCAAAAAGAANGAGAGAGAGAGAGAGAGAGAGAGAGAGAGAGAGAGAGAGAGATTTATCTGATCCAGATGGTTACTAATTTCTTTTCTTCATGGCATTCATTTTTGACCGGGAACACCATGGGTGTTACAAAGTTGACTAAATCATCCAAAATTCTATGAAAGTGGTGATCAGCAATTTAATATGTTCAAATGTCTACTGTGAAGGATATCATAAAGCCTTAATGCAATCGAATGTAATAAAAAGAAAAAGTAATGATTGATGAAAGTAGTAAATCGGTCAGATTTGACCCGAAGACAAAAGGAGGGACCATGCACAGCATTCATAAATTATATATATTTATATTACAACTATTGAGCTTTTCACCAAATGAAAAGTTAAGGTCCTTTTACAGGTCCAAATGTAGTCATTCACCTAATGTTATTTTGTGAATTTAAAGAGATTTCACTCCTTTGTTGCTTATTTAATTAATTTAAATCCCTAAATTATATAATAATCTATTAGTTTAGACCTTTAGTAAGATCACACTTCAGATTTGAATACCCACACACTCATCATTAAATCTCACCTGAAACATAAATAACAAAATACTGCAATTCAGCATTCATTATTTACAAAAGGCACATTTTCTCTTGGACTCATTTTAAGAGAAGGATGGTGAGGTCGCAGCTTCCTGCCCGGGGTCTTTGTTTCCTCTCCCCTATGCAAACCCCTATCAAAATAAAGTCAAACACGCCAACACAAACAATGTACCATTTTAACAAATCTTTATTTATGGACAGCCATTCCATATTATAACATATGCAAACACACATATACACACGCACACACATGGAAAGTGGTTTGAGTCTGTCCTATGTTCAAAAGGCAGGCGGTTACAGCAGAGAAATGAACAGTTAATTACAAAAAACACACTTTTTATTGCGTTTTTAACGGCAATATTTTACATTACCCTTAACCTGGATCATTAGATTACACTTAGGGAGAGTTAATACTATTTACACACATTATTTACATCGCAAAGCCTGAGAGGGGACACGGAAAGCTCAATCTACATTCTCATAGAACGAGACAGGGTTTGTGATCGGTTAAATGTTCAGTCTGTGAGGTCAACACCCGTTTTTATCGTAAGACCTGAGCCAAAACACGTACAGAGCACAAACAAAAGAGAACACGCTTCCAATTGAGAGATTTACAAACCTCTCACATCACTATGATCAACTGTAATCCCAACACTGGTGTCTGGCTTCACTTTAGAGTTGTAAAATCAATGCACATTTATTTTACTTAGAAATCTCAACCAACTATTAGAAAGAGCTTTGAAAGAAAGTCTCTTTATAGTTTCTTATTCTTGTTAAACGAGGAGCTTTCAATACAACTACTCAAAACAAAGCTTATTAATCAGACACCATTGCCAGAGTTCTTTTACTTTTCGTTATATTTAAACATTTTCTGTACATGAAAGAAGGCTGTGTCTTTCGTTCACTCTGACAATCACACACACACACACACTTGAATGAGTTCACAATTTCTTTAGATTCGCTTTGCAAGTGAATACTGTAAGAGTCTACACAGTTTTACTACCCATAAGAAGTTAGACCTGTTTTCACGTGCAGCCACTTTGAGCCACTTTAAAGATTTTAGTATGAAAATTAAACAGCGAGCCCAAAGGTGATGCGTGTTGTCTCTCAGTAGGAAAACAAGTGGGAACCAGGGTCCAAAACTTTGAGTTGTTTTGACTTTATTTTTGTGTAACAGAGGTGTAGTATTCCCCCCCCCCCCGAGGGTTTCCAGTGTGGTCTGAGCCGAAAACAGTGTTTATGCATGATTGAAGGTGTAACTGGAGATGCTGATTCAGCATCTGAGGCTTCACACCACTCCTTCGATGAAGCTGGTCTCCAGATGCACGATGAGCATCCTCAGGAAGGACATCTCCTTGCGCGTGTTCTCGAAGATGATCCGCGGGTCGTCCGACTGGCAGCGCAGGCAGTTGGGCGCCATCACCATGGCCAGGTTGTTCACATCCATTTTAGTTATCGCCACGTTTGAGGGCTGAGCGAAAACCTGGAGAGAATCAGGAGAAAGCAAGGTGTTAACCAATTGGTTATCCACAAAAATATATTCATTTTTAAATAAAGTTCAGTTTGAATTGAGTTTTTCTTTTGAATAATTGTTTAATTGTCCTTGTTTGTAAGGGAGGGTAATAGATGTTTTAAGGTACAATAAATAAAGTTCAAAACAAGCACTGAGAATGTATTATGTAAATACAAAGAAATTAACAAGTTTGAAACTAAACAAATATTATACATTTTTCTCTAATCTAATGAGATAATAATCCCCGTATTCTGACAAATGTTTTAATAAAAAAAATCACAATACAAAATCATATCTTTTTTTCTACCCTGAAAACCTTTTCCATAATTATTAGATGATAATCTCATTAATTCAGAAAAACTTGTACCGATATTGTCAGAATGGGGTCAGTGGAATATGGAGCCTGGTTGAGATTATTTATAAATGTGTGTCATCATTACCTGCAGGAAGTGGATGAAGTAGCAGAGCACCAGCCTGCTGAGCTCGGGCAGAGACTGAACCACAGCGATGGCCGCCACGGGGTCGTCACAGTTATTCACGCACTGCTTGTAGAAGTTCATCGGGATGAGAGGCTCCTCCAGCTCCCGATACCACAGCTTCATCAGAGAGGCTGGACGAGACAAACACACACTTAGTATTCATATAAACATCCAACACAAACAAACTAAACGCTTCCTCCCTCACCAGGAACGTTGGGGTCAGAGAGGTTCTCCGGGATCCTCCACTGGTCCACCTGGAGCTTCAACGCATTCACTTCATCAATGTCCCCAGGCACCCTGAAAATAAAGCCCCATGTTACACTCAGTGGCCACAAGAGGGAGCCCTACTTCTGTCGCTACAGACGCTCTATGCCCGGTGGCAAAGCCATTACTCATGCACAGACAATTGGATTCAAATGGGGCTGGAAAGACTCTGTCCTTTGTTTGCAGGACTTCTTTGGAACAAAACCAAAAACACTGAATAACAAAACACAGAGCTGAGGTCAGTCCCCGTGTAGAGAAGGCAAGATGTTACAGGATCACGTTGGCTGCAGAAGATGCTACACAAACAGGGTTGTAGTTCCTACGTGCTTGCAAGCTTAATGTAAACACACATTATGAAGTATCAAATTAAACAGCGCTGGTCTCCGGACCAAAGCAGGAGTGTGTTTCTTGTGCTGTCTGTTGTACTGTACACAGGGTGATACACGAGACCACACACATTCTGTTTATACACTATATGCATACTAGAAAGCACACACAGTACATAAGTACCGAGCTCAAGGTGAGGCATGTAATAGAGTGGTGCAGGAATGATTGCTAAAAGTTAGAAATGAGCTCATTCAAGCCACTTCTTGTTCTCTAATCTCGAGGTCAACGGTTCTTTGAGTTTTTTTTTTGTTTTTTTTTACATGCCTGAAGGAAAACACTGTTTCAGTAAACACCCCACTGGTCTGAAGCTTGCACATGTATTCAAAATGGAGGTTGATAACTAAATGGCTAAATGAGAAGAGTAAACATCATCACGCCAAACACGAGTTTGACTTTAGCTTAGTGGTTTTGACGCAATGATGCTATGTAGTCCCTTGATAGCCTACCTTAGCTTTTTACTTCTGCTGATTAGATAGACAGATAGATAGATAGATAGATAGAGAGAGAGAGAGAGAGAGAGAGAGAGAGATAGAGAGAGGGATAGATAGATAGATAGAGAGAGAGAGATAGAGAGATATATAGATAGACAGATAGATGATAGATATATATATAGAGAGAGAGATAGACAGATAGAGAGAGAGATAGATAGATAGATAGAGAGAGAGATAGATAGATATAGACAGATAGAGAGAGAGATAGACAGATAGAGAGAGAGATAGACAGATAGAGATAGATAGATAGAGAGAGAGAGATAGATAGACAGATAGAGATAGATAGATAGACAGATAGAGATATAGAGAGAGATATATAGAGAGAGATAGACAGATAGATAGATAGAGAGAGAGATAGACAGATAGAGAGAGATAGATAGATAGAGAGAGAGAGATCGATAGATATATAGAGAGAGATAGACAGATAGATAGATAGAGATAGACAGAGAGAGAGATAGAGAGAGAGAGATAGAGATAGAGATAGAGAGAGAGAGATAGAGAGAGAGAGAGAGAGAGAGAAGAGAGAGAGAGAGAGAGAGAGAGAGAGAGAGAGAGAGAGAGAGAGAGAGATAGATAGATAGATAGAGAGAGAGAGATAGATAGAGAGAGATAGACAGATAGATAGATCTGTAGATAGATAGATACTTTATTTATCACAAGTTGGGAATTTGTTTTGTCACAGCAGCATTTTGACAGTTAGTGTACAAGAATCACATTGTAATAAAATACAAATAAAATAAACATTAAAACAAATGTATTCATACGCTTGAAAAATCATGAAATGTTCCTTGTTAATATGTGGAGATGATCTGATGACTGAAAAAACTTGTGTTTGCAACGGATCTTATTTTCTGCAATATTTCAAAATCCAATGGAAAACGCCTCTGGCTTTAATTGACGAAACGTTTGAGATGCTAACTTTAAAAATACTTCATCACTGCGACACAGTCTTGGTCTGTATCTCACCTGAAGATGCCCTCCGTCTGAGCCCCCCCCAGAGCCAGGACGTACTGGGAGAGCTGCACCTGCACCCAGGGCAGCTTCCTGTCGGGGAACAGCTCTCTCTGCCGCTCCATCACCTCCTCCAGAGAGCTGCCGAACAGCGAGGGGGTGACGATGGCCCGCCTGCTGTGGTCGATCTCCTCCAAGGTGGGCTTACGCAGACCCTGAGGAGATAAGGGAGGAGAAGATTTACTACCTGTGATACCTCTCTATGATACCAATCATGTCTGCAGCTGCACCGCCATGACTGTCTGTGTTTACGTCTGTAGCTGTGAGTGTGTGTGTCCGTGCACCTGTAATTATGTCTCTGTGTGTGTGACGGCAGCCAGGATGAGTCAGAGGCAAGAATACAACTTCTAAAACTGAAGCGCCCTGTTTTGGTCCATGTGGTTGTTACATATGGATATTAAATAGAAAGAAAGGATATACTTGGTATGGGGCTTTTATCTGATAATATGTAGTTTATCCTATAACTATTTCAAAATGTATATTTTTGTGATTAATCCTCTTTAATATCTAAATGGTTATAACATTTCAATATGGATATTACCTCGAAAGGAAGGAATACTGTGACATTTTATTTTACGTATTATTTTCTCCTCCCTTAATGTCACATTTATAATTGTTTCCAAATGTATTCTTTGTGCTTCTTTTATGATGGGTTGAAACTGGTTTGGTAGAGTACATGATAACTGTCATTAGACAAAAGTCCTTTTATATCCGCTGAAGGCTTGATGGGATCCCTTCTCAGTGATTGGTGGCGTTTTCTTTACAGCAACCCCTCTTAGGCAAATAGTTGTTGGTTTTGCTGCTAGTGTATTAAGACTTTTTTTTAATCAATTAGTCCTTTTGTATGCACTTCTCTGGCACACACTAGATTTAAAAGTGGTGCTTTCGCATGATTCTTTGTAGAGAATCTTTTACAATCTGTCAATAAGTCAACAAACAGGATTAGACTCGACTAGGAATTTTCAACCACATGATTTGTGTTGTATTTTCCCTGGGGACGTGTCTGTTCAAGTCTTCTGTGTGTTTGTGTTCAACTGAAACAAAACTACAACAAATAAGTATACATTTTTCAATGATATATCCTATTTGTTATGTGAAAGTGCCATATTTCTTACCTTTTTGCCCCCTGTGATCGCCACCTTCTGAAGTTTCCGATAGCAGAACTTGGCATACGTGCTGATAGGCAGACCTGTGAAGTCAACAGAAAAGCACAGGACTCAGAAACAGCGTAGCAAAGTCCAGAACAACCCTACAGTAGCACACCCTTGTTTTGTTCGTAAAGAGCCTGTGTAAAACCCTTAAGCAACAGGTATTACTGAACACACACAATAATAAATGATTTGAATTCTTTCCCACAAACAGGACGCGCAGTGTTTTCCCACAGATGTCAAACAGCGTATGAGAGGCAGGCAGCGGTAATGTGAGAGACATGTTGACGGTGTGATTCTGGCATATGGGGATTAGAGCCGGCCCGGCTGCACTGTCAGGCTGAGGGAAGATTTACTGCTGTTGAACAAAAGCCTTAGAGGCAGGATCCGGCTGGCTCATCCAGCGTTCAGGTGATTCACCAGCACACACTGACATGAAGAGTTTCAAAGTGAATTAGAAACACAGAGGTCTGCTAAGTAAGTAGCTGCTGTAGGGCCCAGATCTGCTTCGGATGTGAACTACGTTAGAGGAACTAGCTTGTTTGCTAAGGTGGCATGAGACTCGAGTTACAGAAAGACCTGATGTGTGGCTAACAGGTTAGACATTCTGTACATGCCTAGCTCTCAACCATCCAGAAAACTATGTTCATCGTATATGCACCCATGAACAAAATCATCCCCATGTTTCATAGCTGTAGTAACTTGGGTTTACACTAAACGCTGAGCTCTCATGGGGTCTTTCCACATTCCCATGATCGCCCTACCTGAACCGAGGCCAGATGGAAGAACCCACAGGATTTAAAAAAAGCAACAAACACTTTCCATCATGTTGCTGACAGCCAAAGCCCCCAGATTTATGACAAACAGGTGACTCCCACTCACCACTGCTGCTAATCTGACTGAGTTCGACTATAATTATGTCTAATTAGAGAGATCGTATCAATAACTCGCTCTTGATCTTGGCAAAGACGGGGCTACTTTTCCCAAGGCTCCAAACATACATTACATTTGCTCGCAGAAAAGCAAGAGCGCGGAACCCCTTTGCTGCAGTGAGAAAAGGGTTGAAACACTACTCACAGTCTATATTTACATCACGCTTGATGGGAGGAAAACAACAACAACAACAACAACCTGGCAACCAAAGCCCAGGAGAAAGACAAGCTCATTAGGAGTGAACTGCACCTGGCTGAGAACAACATGACACCTGTCTCTGCGAGGAAGCTGAACTTGACAACAAGAACACAGCGGAGCTCTTAGAGGATGTGGAGTAGACGACTTCAGTCTCAGCTGGGGTTTTGTTTATGAGACGAGTTTACAGTAATCCAAGTGATGGCTAAAAGCACAGTCTCCCGGGCCCCGAGCTCAAAGAGGTCTGTTTTTAAAGCCCAGACCAGGTTCAGCCTCAAAAGAAGCCTCCAGTTCCAACCATGCTAATTATTGTAAAGTAAACCTAAAGATACAGCAGAAATAAGCATTGGAAAACATTGTGGGAGATGTGGGAGAATTTGCAGACCATTTACATGCAGAAAAACCTATACACCACACTACAGGAAAGAGACATGTGTCCGAAGAAATAGGGCCCTTTTCATATAAACTGTTATTTCATTCAAGTTTTAACTCAAAAAAAGAGACGGCAACTATCGTGAGATTTTAAAAACAAAATCGACAGACACAATTGCGCCACATGCTGTTTTTAACATGCTGTGTATAGTATTGAATTTAAAAAAAGAACAATATTAAAATATTTAAGTGGATAAAATGCCTTCTAACCAAACTACTCAGCTTGGATCTAATGTAAACCAACTGTTATTGAGTGTGGTAGTAAAAGAGGACTTGAGGTGGTTCCCAATTCAAAGCATTTGCACATTATTGCTGTTCTTGAACCATGTACTTTGTATGTATTTGTGGCTACCATCTTCTATTTCTTTATACCTGGCCCTAGCAAAAATAAACTGAAATGAAATAGATTAAAGCTTAACTTTCTCTAAAACTAAAGTACCGTAATTTTCGGACTATAAGGCGCACCTGAATATAAGCCGCAGCAGCTAAATTGAATGATGTGTACATATATAAGCCGCACTGGACTATAAGCCGCAGGTGTTTTAATGTTTAATTACCATATGTAAGGGTTCGTGCACAGAGGGGATTGTCGGGAAAGAGATGGCTGTTTGAGGAAGCTCCCATTTATTAACATTTCAACAAACAAGTTGCATATTTGCATAACGTATTCAAGTGTTACCATTTAGTGCAATAGTAGCTACAGAACATGTACTGTGCTGTGTAAACTGTACTGTATCACATAGCGTTTCAGACACACAAACTTTTCAACTTTCAAACTTAAACGGTGCGCTCCCAGCGCACGTACCGGCAGGCGGGGACAAACTGTCTCGCTCTCGTAATGTCTGTCTGTCTTGCTCTCGTTCTGTCTCTCGTACCACTCTCGGTTCCACTTTTACTTTTGCGCGCTACCTGTCTCACTCTTTTCCGGCCTCCAGCTTTCCCTGCTGGAGCCCGCCGCTTAAAGGTGGGGGGCGCGGACCAGCTTATAGAGCCCATAGAGTTAAAGGTGGTGGACTGTAACCTGTAAAATCCATAGATTTAGGAGGTCCCCTAGTGGCCGTTAGCTGTACAAATCCATAGATTAGCCGCACCGTTATATAAGCCGCAGCGTCGAAAAATGGGAAAAAAGGCGCGGCTTATAGTCCGAAAATTACGGTACATGTATAACCTTGGTTCCCACATGCTGCTCATAACTCTGGTCACACACAATGACCCAGCTCCTCCATCCATCAGGCAAACAGCAGCATGTTGTTTTGGTACATGTGGGACTTGTTTTTCTCTCTGGCTTTCATCAAGATTCCTCCGTCTTAAAAGTCCTTGAGTCTTAGTCAGACGTGTTCAATAGGCTTTCCCTCCGACCTCTTAGTCAGTTTGGGTCTGAGTCACTGAATTACAATGTGTGTGTGGCTGCTGCAAGATGATTGGTTTCCTCTCCGGTGACATCATCACTAGTAAGGGGTGCTTTCATGAGTGTCGATGAGTAGGTATCCCCTTTATAGGCTGTCTGACATGCGGGTGGCAAGAGGGACCGCTAATATGACTCACAGTGTGGTCCATTGTGTGCATGGAGAACATTCTCATCCTACATTTTTTTTTTTCAGCTCAGCTTTCTGTGAAACCCATTCATTGCATCTGCGAGTACATCAGCATGTCCTCATCTGACAAACTGCAGTGCTGAATTTTCCATCCCACTCAGAGCGGTGTCTACAGGGAGCGATATATTAGATTTGTAATGGCTCAGACTGCACAGCTTTTGAACAGATTAGAAAAACATCTTTGGGAGTCGCTCCCCTGCCTACTTTGTGCTCTGTCAAACAGATACACTTGTGTAAATAGGAAATACCGAGAAGCCAATGTTCTTAATGTGATATTTGAACTAATTGAATTACCTTCTTCGTCATCCGAGTTCTGTTTCCGCTTCTTTCTGGACTTTGAATGTTTCTTCACGTTCAGCTCCTGCTGGTCCAATATGAACTGAGTCACTAAGAAACAGAAAAACAGCAACGGTCACATCTCTGACGGACAATTCGATTTTACATAAGACCGACAGATTAGATTATTGGGCTCATCAGAAACAATCCTGTACTTTCTACCGGGATCATGCTGACTAAATTACACTTCCAAAGGAAAATAAGAGAAAGGGAGGAGAATACAGAGGTGATTTTAAAAACGATAACTTTCAAAGGGGGGTGCAGAAAAGAACAGAAAGGTGACCCACCGTCTTCCTCAGTCTGAGACTCACATTTCTTGTCGCTGGATGGGTCTGTGTGTCTCTGGATGTAACCCTCCAGGTAGCAGCGGAACTTGGGCGAGGGGGCGAAGAACGCCAAGCTGACGGCCATCAGCTCCCACCCCGCCGCCAGGCTCCTGGGGGTGGCATTTCCTGTGGTCTGCCTTACCAGCTGCACGTAGAGCTCGTCCCGCAGCCCGGGCATGTCCCAGCACTTGGTGATGATGAGGAGGGCGCAGTGTCGGCGGTCCAGGCGGGAAGGCCGGTCCCCCATGTAGGCCTGCAGCAGTTTGAACATCTCGCAGGCCTCCTTTCTTACGGCGCGGTTGCTGGTGACCAACATGGGCTTCTTGATGGATCCGCGGTTCCACGATAGCATGTTAGCGATGGACACGCGGCGTCTGAACAGGCCCTGTGTGTGCATGTTGAGGTGCTTACTAGCCCAGTCCTCCATGCCCATGTCTGGAGGGGGGGGCTGCCGCAGGGTGGCGTAGGACAGCTGGTAGGAGGACCCTCGTGATCTTCCTCCGGCGCCATCACTTCCCTCTCTGTTGTCGTGGCTTGCGGGGCGGTGAGGGCCCAGGGAAGCGGTGCGTCCGTCCGCCATGCCTTTCTTCCTGTTCTCCAACTGGGCCTGCAGCTCTAAGGTGCTCGTCTACAGGGGGGGCAAGAAGGGAACATGAGATGGAGAAGGAGAGGGAGGTTTACAAAGGAGGTGAGCGCCTACCGTGGGCGAGGGAAACATGGATTTAAGAAGAATAATCTAGAAACCAATACGTAGCCTAAGAGCTTCTTTTTTGGTTTGTCACGTTTTGTACATAAGTTCAGTATTTGAGTTCATGTACTTTGGTACAACACTGTCAGAGGATAAAGCATATTCTGTTTGGTTACTCAGCATGGCTTGCACGTGCACTACCAAAGATGGGACTCTTGAGATCCACCCCCCCAGTGAAGTTGTCTCCAAGTGGAAGGAAGTGAGGGAGAGGAACCGTGGGTAGTACTTAGCTAAGTCTGATAAACAGCCCATATCACTTTTTTGTTCCAAGCTAGAGTAGACGTGATAACACTTCAACGTTGCTAGCATAGTGACGCACTCGCTCAGAGCTACGTGGATGCAGATGTGGGCATGGTTAAATCTGAACTGGCTTGGGAAGACAATAGAGGCTACCCGGACAAGAAATCTCAAAAAACCTATGAACCCTGGCCCCTCAGGAGCAGGTGACCAGTCAGTAACAGTCCATACAGTCCCAAAGCTGGATCAAAACCAAAGCTATGCTCTGTGATCCCTGCGGTGGAGTTGACGACTGAGAGGAGGACTTCTAACTCCCTTAATATGAAAGCCAGGAGCCTAGATATGCTCTGCAAGCAGCCAGGAACAACACCAGACCAGAGCCAGAATCAAAGCACAGAATATACTAATGGAACATAAAACGCATCAACAAGTCTTTTCAATGAGACCCCGATGAAAGATGGAGCTCACGTGCGCCAGACAAGCTGGACTTCACATTTTGGTTTCTCAATCAAATGGAGCAGATGTGAGGTTTGGCTTTGGCAGAGACTTTATGATGGTTGTACGAAGTTGATGTAGGCTTTTTAAACGGGTTATAGAGGTCAACTGTAGGAGATCAAATGCAACAAACAGATGTTTAACTAGGGACTGGGAATGTACCACTCTTACTCTCCCTAAATTACACTGTGTTACAGATCACTTACAGATGCACCAGCACAAGATGCTTATTCAGTCATAGTGTGCAGAAAATGCTTTCAACTTTGAAGTCATGCAATATTCATTCCTTTTTATTTGGAAATGGACATTTTAAGTGCATCCTTTTGAACAAGCAAGTTCATAAGGTCTTTCAGCAAGAACAGAATGTTCAAATATGGAAATATGGAGCAAGCCATAATCTGAGAGTGTGTGTGAGTGATATAACAGCAGGTCTGAAAAACATTCCAGGACAGACTTAGGGGGCCCGCTCACTGCTCCTTGGCTGTTGTCTAACATGTTTAAGCTACAGTGGTACCAATACGCCGGGGTACCAGCCTACTTCCTCTTCCTACTCCTCATCTCCCTGCAGAGCCCGGGCCATATGGGCCTCAGCGGCCTCCTTCCTGACCGAGGGAAGCCATGTCCTGAATCTCTCTGGCCTGGCATGGGCCCCACATTCACAGGCACAGATCTGGCATATGAGCACACAGGACCTGCCGTGCGCAGCAGATGGAGGAGGGCAAGAGATGACAGGTAATGCTGGGACTGCGGCCATTATAGTCAGCAGTGCCCGGCCTGCCTACTGCTGCTGCTTAATATCCAGGGACATTTAGACACTTAAAAACTGGAGTGTAAAAGGTATTACTCACACAATGAAACACATAAGCCTTTACAGTTTTTATCCCACTGTTTCCTCTTTTCTTTTTAATGTAATACTTACTGAATGAGTATGGGTTTGAATACACTTCAAACACTTCCTCCAACAATAAAATGATTGCACATCCCGCTTCATACTCGCAAAACAAACAAACACCATCCACTCACATACCACTTTGTACAACCTGACAAACACACACACACCTTTTATCACAGGACTGTAACGGGTGTGATTCTGTATCAAGAGGGGCTTTAGAGACTCCACATGCTGCTACTTTTATAAAAGTTTCATATTCTTCTTTCATCTTCGATCATGTGTTTTATCAGGGCCCTTCAAGACATCACTGTGGTTCCTCCACGTGGTTCTGTTTATTTGAGTGCTCTGCCATGTCAAAATAAAAGTTTAACCAAATCTGTTTAAATAGTCAACTAATGTTTTCACAGTCACACAATCTGTCTATTCTTTCACTCGCAGCTCTTTGAGGACCAGACAGAATACATGTTCAGGAATGACTCCATCCACTGACTGAATTATTCTGTAATCTGATAGTAAATCTGGAGAGACATCAGTAATCACACCAAACAAGATGAATCCAAGCTAACTTTCGGAGGTAAACAGAACACACCATTACACACACTCAGCTGAGCTCCTAACCAGGCAGAAAGATTTCATAATATTGGAAAAGCTTTGAGGTATTTTCTACTGACATGTTATCGCCACTTGCCTCATACACTCAGTTTCAGTGTTTTATGTCTTATCTATTTTTATGTTGCATTGTTGGAGGAGCCTGAGGCTTAAGATCTCATTGCCATAACTACACCAGCTTCACATAGGAGAATAAATCCTTTGAACTTTAAAAAACACAGTGGAGAGTGGGGTTACCTGTGATGGGGGTCCCGGGGTCTCTGGTGAGGACAGGCTGACCTGGCTGTTGATGCTCAGCTCCAAAGTGTCCACCTTCTCATACGTCCTCTTCTGCCTCCCTGGTATCTCCAGAGGGGTCAGCGCAGGGTTGCCATGGTTACCCGCCCTGTTCAGTGACCGGGCGGCCCCGCTGAGCTCCTCTCGTGAATCGCATCTACTCGACGATCCCCCTCCCACTCCCCCGTACCACCTGAGAGAGTCGGCGGGGGAGCGTGTCCGTGGTACAACGGCCCTCTCCCCGACCTCCGGGTCCAGCCCCGCCCTCACCTCCCTCATGGTGTTGGAGCGACTCACCACCTCCCTCATCTCGGCCATCAGCTTCTCGTTGAGGGCGCACAGCTCCCCGGTGCTGCCCACAGACCCCGGCCTGCCCCCCGTCCCCCCGGCGGCTCCCATCCTCCTCCGGCTCTTACGCCTCAAACTCGGGGAGGGGCCGGTGGAGTAACCAGAGTCCTGATAGTTGCCGGTGGGCTGGGGGGTGGTGGAGGGGAAGTCCTGCGAGGCCTGGCTGCTCTGCCGGCTGTGTCGGGCCTCCATGGCGCGCTGCACCGTGGCCTCCAGCACCCGCCAGCTCTGCTTCTTATCCAGTGTACTGGGGCCCGGGGGCCCTGCCTCCCTGTCCCTCAGCTGACCTCGAGTCTGGGGCAAAGAGTGGGCCTGGAGCTGGGCCTGAGGCTGAGGAGGGGTCAAGACGGGATCCTGCCTGGAGGGAGGGGAAGGGGTGCGGTGTGTAGGGACAGGAGAGCCGGGTAGGAGCCCCTGTTTGGGGTCCACGTTGATCATGTGCTTGATGCACTCCAGACCAGCTGGGCTGTAGTCAGAGGCCGAGGGGTTCCTCCTGTGTCGGGACCCGGGGTGGGGTGGACCCGGGTGCTGGAGGAGTCTGGGTTTCTGCAGGCTGTGGGTGGGTGTCAGGCGAGACAGATGTTGCCCGTTGTAAAGGTGGGCCCCCTCTACCTCCATGTCTGTGGGGGGTTCATCATATATGGGACATTCTGTAACTGGCTCGTCGTAGATTGGGGTAGTGCAACTATACTGGGGGGAGGCGGGACATGGAGTGCTGGTCTGAGACCTGTGGAGGAGCGGACTGGGATGAGTACTGTCTGTCACCACACAGAAGCTGCCATTGCTGGCCTTCCTCAGGTGATGCGCCTGACGACTGTCAGCTGACATTTTGCCAGAAGGGGTGGTTCTATATCCCTGGGGGGAGCTTATGTGTCCTCCTTGGGTCTTGTTGCCAGAGGGGTGCAGGGTGAAGGTTTTGCTTTGTGAACTGTGCTGGAGGAGCTGCTGCGAGGCTGGGATTGGTTGGCTTCGGCTCATACTGTTCACCTTCACCAACATGGCTGCCTTAGAACCCGGGGTGGGCTGCCATCTTTGAGAAGCATCACTAAAAAGGAAGAGAACAAAAGAAAACAAATTGGTTTCACGTCGCCCAAAGCAGCTATATATATATATATATATATATATATATATCAAGTCTTAAAGAACACGGTTAAGTAAAACATAAAAAGCATAAACATAAAATCATTCCCAGGCATCAAGTAACTCGCTATATTTCATCAAATCAAGAAAACACTAAGCTGACAGGGCTGGGAAAATCAGCAGCAATCCACAAATTCCTCTCCAAACATTTTGCTGACCTTCAAATATTTGACTCCATTTTTTGTCTGGCAGTCAAAATGGCCTCGTTAAACCCATGAGACAATACCTCCAGTGTGTGTTGTGCCTAAAAATACTGAGTGACTGAACACAACACATCTGACTGAAATCCATTCACACTTCGTCCATGTGGGCCTGGCTCTTGAGAATACACACAGGATAATTTTATATAAGATGACTGCTGGTGGTTGTATGTCTGTGAAGTAGCAAATGTTGGAATGACTCATATGGCATCTGACTCACTGAGTCAATATTTGTGCAGTAAACCGGTAGTCCACATGGAAAGAGGCTGATCTGAGGGAAGTGGGAATTGCAGTAGTTCACAGCTGAGAATATCTTCATTTAGGTCCAAAGGTTAATTCTTCTCCTTTTGGTTGAGCGGCTGGGCTAACTTCAAACCCAATGGCCCACTGCTAATCCCGGCAAACCTAAAACAATCTGCCATCAATCCGGTCACGCTGCCCTGCTCTGCGTCCCTCCACAAGGCTTGTTCCCTCGTAATCTTCCCCGGCAATCAGGACTTTTCATTCCTCGGCTGATCAGAAAACTTGACCCCTTTAACCTAAAGCGAGGAATTATTGCACATGGACAAAGTCGCTGGCTTGCCTGAGTGAGGCGCATGTGACGCAGCACAGAATACACAAGCTCAGGAGACTCTTTATCTTAATCACCGGGTCACAGGTAAATGCGTTACAAGGCAGGAAAGAAGACTTACCTCCCCCCTGCCGCCCTCTTCTTAACATTCACTGGGGTAATTAATTAGATAAAATCGGATCACCTCCTGTCCTAAATCCAAACACTGATCGAGCCAGAGCAAGTGCTTAAAGGCTTCCTTTTCCAACAGACTTTTTAGTAGTGAGTTGTGCAGTGAGAGGACACAGAGGGAGGAGGAAGGAGGCGGACTGACCCCCCCCATCCTCCCCACTTCTCTCTGGAACAATGCTGAAACAATTCCCCTGAGGACCTCGAGCCAACGGCAAACTTCCTTTATTCCTTCTAGCTACAGCAGGCCATTCTCTCTCTCTCTCTCTCTCTCTGTCTCTTTCTCTCTTTCTCTGTCTCTTTCTCTCTTTCTCTCTCTCTCTCCCCTGTCCATACCATAGTCACACCACCTCAGCAGTTTGAATGTAAACAGGCTCTCATCTTCAAACGGTTCCACAGATATACCATCCAGATAGGGTCTATTAACAGCTGGACCTCAGCAGGGGTGTGAATTAACTAAGTACATTTACTCAAGTACTGTACTTAAGAAGAATTTGTAATTACATGTACTTTACATTTTGTGCTACTTTGTAATTCTACCCCACAATAATTGAGAGGTAAATCGTGTACTTTTACTACACTACATTTATTAAATTCATTTAGTAACTCTAAAGATTTGTTTTAACGATGGGAAATTAAATCAACACTTAAATAGGACTTAAGTCAACACCTGGAGTAAATTCACAAGCTACCCTGCAGTAAATAAAGTAATTAAAACTAGCTGCACCTTTACCAGCTTTGATAACACTTTAATGATCAATCATTATAATCAAAACATATAATATATTATTCTGAGTACCCTTACTTTGGTTACTTTAAGTATATTTTGATGCCAATACTTTCATACTTTTACTTGAGTAACATTTTGAATGCAGGACTTTTACTTCTACTCAAGATCTGAGTACTTCTTCCACCTCTGGATCTCAGCCAGCTGGCACAACACCAATCTGCCACAAACACTTTAGTTGGGAACGCTCCAATGGCCCCCATCTCACTGACACCAAAGTTTACTGCCGAAATAACAGCTAACAAACACAGACGGACACGTGTGAAGACGAGAAGCTCAGAGGGATGGGATTCACCTCAAACCACCAATGTTTAGTTGTTACAAGGAAGTGTGAGTGTCTAATGGTTACGAGGAGGAGGGGGTTGATAGGTGACAGCTGTAAACATGACAAGCCACTGTTTGTGCTCTTTGAAACAGTGTATGTTTTCTCACTCGGGCCCTGTCTAGCAGTTGGAGGTGACACAAATGCTACAAAATCGTTCCCACCTCAGCAGCTGTCTGTTTAGCACCGGTTTGCTACGGCAGCACCGGCTCACACATGGAACATCAAGGCGTCTCTTGTAATTGGGTTGGCCGAAGAACACAGAGGACCTCACACACAAAACCACAATAATCAAATTCCCCTTCTATTATCCACAAGCAAATCCAACCCTGTTGTTCGACTGTCAAGGAAAAACATCAGGTTGTCTTTTCTTGGTGGGTGGGTGACGCATTTTATGAGGGCTGACCCTGAGATAGTAGGGACCAGCACTTCCTGTCGGAGGGGGACCTCTGGAAGGTTGTAGAGAAAGCTTACGCATATGCAACGCAAACAGGAAATGCCTAATGTAAGGCTCACACACTGCGCCAGGGCGGAAGAATGGGCTAAAGCTTAATTATAGGGAGCTTATATACAGCTTTACAAGATGTTTCGCAACATACATTCGAAATTAGATATATTTTCACCCTTTTAACATTATGTACGAAATAACACGACATTGTTGGTTCTATACTACTCCTTCATGTCCATACAAAGACCAAATGATATCCTGGGATAATTTCAGTAGCCACGTCAAACCCCATATTCTTCAGGGACTGAAACTGAGCACGTTCACTGGCCTGTGAGGAAGTGCAGCTCAGTGTTGGGAGAGAGGGATTTTGTCAGGCTTTGTCTCTGTTGTCTGAACACCATTGTCCCTCTCAGGCTCAGCAAAGGTCTCGCATGTTCTTCCCCCCCCCCCGCACTGGCACATTACGCTGGATATCAGCAGGGAGCTCGGTGCGGCGATGATCACTGCGATTGCATTCGGGGAGCTGGGGGCCGACTCCAACAAGTAAAGCTTTACAGTGTCTTCAATTTCCATCCAAAGCCTGTAATCCCATTACACAGCTAGAGCGACACCTGCATATCAGTAAACCTCAGGTCAGCCAAATAAAGTATCATTACAAAGTACCCCAACCCAAAAGAGAGGAGAAGACAGAACAATATATTGATATTTAACATCAAGATGCAAAGGTTTTATTGTCAAAGCTACAGTGTAGAAATGGCAATGAAATTCTTCTGACCTGAGCTCCTCCAACAATGCAACATACAGGACTGTCTCAGAAAATTAGAATATTGTGATAAAGTTCTTTATTTTCTGTAATGCAATTAAAAAAACAAAAATGTCATACATTCTGGATTCATTACAAATCAACTGAAATATTGCAAGCCTTTTATTATTTTAATATTGCTGATTATGGCATACAGCTTAAGAAAACTCAAAAATCCTATCTCAAAAAATTAGAATAGTTCCTCAGACCAAGTAAAAAAAAAAGATTTATAACAGCAAAACACAATCAAACATTTGAAAATGTCCATTAATGCACTCAGTACTTGGTTGGGAATCCTTTTGCACGGATTAC